AAAAATTTCCCCCCAGACCCCAAAACCCCCCCCCAAAAAAGCCCCACAGCCCCTCCCCACTCCCCAAAATCCCCCCCAGACCCCTCCCCCCTCCCCAGACCCCAACCCCCCCCAAAAAAAACCCCAAATCCCCCTCAGACCCCCCAAAAAACCTCCCCAAAATCCCCCCCAGACCCACTTGAAGCCGGAGGGGGCCCCAATATCGGCCTTGGAGATTTTCTTGCGCCCCCCCCCCTTTTTCTGCTCCCCCCCAGGGGGGGCTCCGGCCTGGGGGGGGGTCCCCGGTGTGGGGGAGGGGCCCGAGGGGGGGTTGGGCAGCCCCCGGTAGCGGCTGGGGGTGATGTCGGGGTTGGGGATGGGCACGGCCGGAATTGGGGGGCCTGGGGGGGGAAATTGTTATGGGACCCCTCCCCAATTACGGGGCAGAGTCACGAAATTCCCACAAAGAGACCCAAAACCCTCCCCGAGAGCCCAAAATTCCTCCGAGAGAGCACAAAATTGCCCCAAAGAGCCCCAAAATCCTCCCTGAGTCCAAAATCTCCCCCAGAAAATCCAAAACTGCCCCGAAGAGCACCAAAATCACCCCAAAATCCCCCGAGAGCCAAAAATCCCCCCAGAGACACCAAAATCCCCCCCAGAGACACCAAAATCCTCCCCAGAGATGCCAAAACCACCCCAGAAACACCAAAATTCCCCCAAGGAGCCCCAAAATCGCCCCAAAATCCCCCCTGAGCCAAAAATCCCTCCAAGAGAACCCAAAATCCTCCCAAGAGAACCCAAAATCCTCCCCAGAGACCCCAAAATCCCCCTTAAAATCCCCCCTGAGCCAAAAATCCCCCCCAAAAACCCCAAAATCCCCCCCAGAAACCCCAAAATTGCCCCAAAGAGCCCCAAAATCCCCCCCAATTCCTTTCTGGGACCCTCCCAAGCCCCCCCAAAATGGGGCAGGACCCCTCCCCCACTCACCATCAGGGTTGGGGGTCCTGGGGAGGCTCCCCCGACGCTCTGGGGGGGGCACAGGGAGGGTCAGGGGGGTGGGGACCCCCCCAGTGACCCCAAAATCCCCCAAAATCCCCCCCAGAGACCCCAAAATCCCCCCCAGTGACCCCAAAATCCCCCCCAGTGACCCCAAAATCCCCCCCAGTGACCCCAAAATCCCCCCCAGTGACCCCAAAATCCCCCCCAGTGACCCCAAAATCCCCCCCAGTGACCCCAAAATCCCCCCCAGTGACCCCAAAATCCCCCCCAGTGACCCCAAAATCCCCCCCAGTGACCCCAAAATCCCCCCCAGTGACCCCAAAATCCCCCCCAGAGACCCCAAAATCCCGGGGGGGGGGGTCAGGACTCACCGTGGCCGGGGGGTGGGGGAGGGGGCAGCAGCTGCTTCTCTGTGGGGGGGTAGAAAAGTGGGGGGAGGGGTCAGTGGGGGAGGGGCTGGGGGGCAATTTTGGGGTCCCCAAAGGATTTTTTGGGGGATTCCCGGTGGATTTTGGGGGGTTCAAAGGAGATTTGGGAGGGTTCTGATGGATTTTTGGGGTTCCCAGGTGCATTTTGGGGGTTC